AACACTGTACACTCTGTAATTTTAATCCCATTTTACATAGTAGAATTTAATAAAAAAAAATATATTAATACAAACTTTACATCATAGAGCAAAACGTACCATATTGCGATCGAAAAGTGTTTCAAATTTTATTACGACAGTAGTGTACAAAATTTAAACACATCCTTTTTAGTAGTGTTTCGATTTGTAATCCGACTAATTTGGATAGAATTTGGATAGATCCGATAATTCGAATTAAATGTGAACATTCGTATCCGTTAATTTTAGCGGATACATATCGGACTACGGCTATTTTCATGAATTCTGGACGGCTGAAAATTTTTTGATAATCGAATCGATAAGCTGTGTCGAAATTAACAAGTTACGCCTGTCCGATATCAGAACTTGATTCGTTAATCAGCAATTTTTTCTAATGTCTAGAATCTAAGGTAAAAAGGTGTATTTTGGCGAAATCAAAGTAGCTAATATAAATTTTTTTTTTTATTTAAGTTTATATAAAAAAATAAGATACTATTTTGAAATAATCTGATTTATAGATTGTTTTACGAACCAATTTTAGGGGGTGGGGTATTGTGGCGAATTTAAATATCGAATAATTTTATATTATTCGATTCGTCTTGATGAATGGTAGTTAAATCATCTAAATTCCGATCACTGGATCACTAGATATCATCAATTTAAAAATAAACAAAAATAATTTAGAAGAAATTCTATCGAAATAAAAAGTTGCACTAAGGTAAGTGATCTTTGATACTAAGTAAATATGTGTTTATGCTAAAGTTGTTCACGGCATCAAATTACACATTCTGAAATTTTTATAAAATTTAAAAATTTTGTTAATTGATCTTGCAAAATAAATACATTATCACGAAAAATTTTAAATTTGTTTATGGAAACGTATTTTGTAAGATACTTAATAAAAATGTTTAAATTATATAAAAATTTTAGAATTCGTGTAATTTGATGGCGCGAACAACTTTACTTAGAGCATGAAAACCGACTTACTTAATATCAAAGATCGCCGACCTTAACGCTAACTTTTTATTTTTCAAATTATGTTTATGCAGCACTTAATCAATGATATCTTATCTAGAATTGGATGATTTTAACTACCATTTGATTCGTCTCATCGGAACGAATCGAATGGTATAAAAATCATTAGATTTTGATCGTTGCATCACGAGATATTCTACATTCGCTACACTACCACTTTTCGCCAAAATACCACTTTTACCTTATGAAACCAGCTGTAAAATATTTGCTTTTTAAAGATTGCTTCAGTTTTGATTATTTTGCACAACAAATGTGCTTTTTCCGAGCTACCGTATTTTCGCGTAATAACGCGCAGGGGTGTAATTCGAATTTTGGCCTAAATTAAGCTTAATTCGGGCCAAAATTTGAAATAACGCTCATGGGCGTTATTACGCGAAAATACGGTAGGTGCAATAAAAAATTTTATTTTTCGTAGATGTGAACTCCGAAATTCGTTATTTCGATTGGCCGATCAATAACTTTATAATTCGGATACTCGAAAAGTAATCCGAATTCAATCCGGATAGCCTTTGAAGAATAGAATTAAATAGCTTAAGTATATATAGTATAAATCCGAAAAACTCACCAATCATACTAGGCATGTTTTTAATTGGCGCTCAGAATAAATGATATGTGTTCCTACTATTGATAAATGAAACTGAATTAGTGAATTGATATTTTGAATAAGATTAATTTAAATCGCCAGTTTGCATGATTGACAGGAAATGTAATAAATATTATTGACTAATTTATTTCTTCCATAATAGTAAGTTTTTCGGACTTTCCTAAACGCAACCAATTTGATTAAGAGTACCTTTGATGCATACTAAAGTTCATGCTAATATCTTTATCAAACCTGTTCTTGCATATTACGATCTACTATAAAAATACATGAATATTAGGGTCTTTACGGGACATCTTTTTTATGTAAATGTATGTGAACTCGCCAAAAACATCAAATAACGAGTTATTTTCGCTTTCGTTCTTTACATTTATTTCCATAACTGTGTACTTCTTTGCTTTTGGATTAAGGTTTCCGAGTTGAAATTGAAGGCTACTGGGCATTATAATCCTTCAAAATCAAATATTCTTTTTGAATCCGAATTTCAAGGGTTTCATTAACTCTTTTAGACCTGGATGAATATTATTCTTTCTGGTTTGTAGATAACTTCAATAAATTCATTAAATTCTTAGGGTTCTTCAACTTAATTTCACTCAAAGCTTCATGGGTCTTCAGACAGTTTCAATTAAGGCTTCATAGCAGTCTTCACGTGTATTTTCAATTAGAGGTTTTTTTAGTTTTTCTTTTTTAGTTTTTTTTTTTTTTTTTGTTCTTTAATTTTAGTTTTTTTTTTACTTTATTTTTATTATAAATTTTTTTTGGTTTTGGTTTTTTTTCTTAAACCTAAAATGGAAAAGATCCACCTTCTTTTGATTAACTGCCTTCCTTTTTCTTGGTTCTTGTCCAAATTGGAAAGCCTTCAAGATTTTTTTTTTTTTAATAACCTTCATTACAAGTACTTGCTTATTTTCAATGTCTGAATCATCACGCATATTTCAAAGGTTAACATGTTAAAAAGTTATAAGATCGAGTAATTTAACTATATTATGCTTAGATTTGGATTTATTAGATACCTACTTGCAAAGAAAATCAAAGAAAAAGAAAAAGGGGGTAAAACACAAGCAGCAAAAAAAAAGTCAAACCCTTCAATTATGCCTAAAAGGAGGCATATCTTGTATAGACTTGACAATGCACATGTGAATGTGAATATAGAGAACACTATCATTGGCTGAATTTTGCTATTCTTCATTCTTCAGAAGGACCACTTCTCTTTTTCGTTGTTCTTGTTTCTTGCTATTTTCCCGAAAAAAAAATATACATATATATATAAAAAGATACTATAAACACCAATCCGCAAATAAAAGAATTTGAAGTTTAGAGGGTAAAATCGCCAGATAAGTCCAAATAGAAGCAAAGATAACGCTATTAAATAAGGGTTTTAATTTCTCAGTACAAAAAGAGAAATTAAGAGAATGAATATTATCCAATATAAAATCCAAAATACCAACCTCTTTTCAACGAGAATAACTACGAGATCTTTTAGAGCGGCTATACGACCTTCTTCTACCCCTCGAATAACTACGGCTGCGAGATCTTCTTCTATCCCTTGACCAGCTTCGACTTCTAGAGCGTGAAGGCGTTCTTCTTCTGTAGCGTGGTGGCGGGCTGAAAGAAGGCGTTCGACGATAGGTATTTCCACGGAAACGTGATGGTCTATCCCCCATATATTCACCGGGGGTCGGTGTATGCGGCCTCTGAGTCAACGAATAATCTACACGCATATTTCTTCCATTGAGTTCCTATGATCCGCAATTATAGTATTATACACAAGTGTCAAAAGAGACTATGAAAATAATATAACGCGGGTTATGTATAAACGTACCATCCCATTTGTTTTTTCCTTAGCAACAGACGCTTCTTCAACCGAATTCATGTAGACAAATCCAAACCCACGAGAACGATCGCTCTGTTGTACAATAAGCAACTGTAAATTATTATTCATTATGTGGACTTTGAATTCGAAGAAATGAAGATAATGTACCCGATGATCATAGACAATAGTCACTTGGTTAACCCTTCCATAACGTTCAAAGATAGCTTGTAAGTCTTTTTCAGTAGTCCTAAGACTAAGATTGAAAACACCTAAGACGTGGCTAGGATCAGGCTCCTATTAAAATTATTATTTGGATAAGTTAAATTTCTAAATAAGCATCACTAGCAGCTTGCATCGAACTTACGTCTCTACGACTCACTCTTCTTCTTCCACGACTTCTGTCGCGACTTCTGGATCTAGGGAATAAAATAGAATTAATACTCTGTCTTATTTTACGTGGTGCAAAAATAAACTTTACCTCCTCCTTCTTTCTCCTCTAGAGATACTCCTGCTCGAAGAGCTTCTGGAATATGAACGACGTCTATGTCGCCGAGAGGTACGTGTTTTATGAGGACTTCGGCTGCGTGTTCTGCTACGAGAGTAAGAGCGGGGGCGAGGAGAGCGAGATCGAGCTCGTGGACGAGATGCACCGCTCTCACGATCACGACCACGGTCGTCACCATTAACAAGTGAAGGTGGACCTTGAGATGGCATGTCAGGTGGTATATTAGAAAGTGGAGAGGATTCTTTTTTTGCTGAAGTAGAAAGTTCTTGCTAATTTTTTTATTTCGTAATAGACGAAGAAAGGGATTGATAAGCCAACTGTTTGTCAGCTGACAAAAATGATACATATATATAGTAACGGTAAAAAAACATACAGTTGTCGGAAATGTCGGAGATTTGACCTCAGTATCTTCAACCTTGTTGGCTGGCTGTGGATGTCCAGGGTCGGCATAACCTAACTCCATCGTTTCTCCTGTGCTGGTAATGTGTAGCGGAGTGTTGCCAAAAGGTCAATACGCAAAAAAAAAAACTTTTAATGCAGAAATTTACACTGTCATACGGAAGTGTACAAATCGTATGATCTCCGAGTGTTACCTCGAGGTTTTTTTTTACCGGGATGCAGATCAAAAAGTCATTCGCATTTATCATTGCTTCTGGGATGTTTCTTTTCATTATTCATGCATGGATTCTTGCATTGATGCATAAATTAAATTTATGAAATTTTTTAACACACAATTCTGAGAGAAAACCGGTCGATACGTACGATACTTAATGTATTACAATAATCCAATACGTAGCAGATATATGTTATACGTAAAATTTTTTTTTTCCTTATTGGTAGCCTCGCCGGTATCTTTATTAGATCAAAGCATATACTGTATCGGTATATTGTAAACAATCTAAACTGTAGATCCGACATCATCCGGCTGGTCTACCTCACCGGTTAAGGCATCGCCCGTACCGGAGGGCTGCACCAAGCTAGCCAGTGAAGCCATAATAAAATGGTCTTAATTTAAAGAAATTTTTACCAACATTTCATCAACAATTAACCTCTTCAACTTTATCCTCCTCTTTACAATAATAATCTAAATCTACTCTACTATCTAATTTAGCTTTTATTTTTACTCTATTATAGCTAAATTCTATCTGTTTGTGTCCAAGCTTCTTTCTTTTCTTTCAGTTTATTTTGTCTATGCTGATAGGAGATCTGGCTTTCAAAAGTCTTCTCTTGTTCTTCTCTTTACATTTTTTCTTTTGTTTCATGGTTCTGTATTCTTTCTCCTTTTCTAAAGAGTTTAATTTAAATGTTTTTTTTGAAAGTGTTTTTCTATAGATCTTCTCTCTTTCTAACTTTCTTAATATCATTCTTGAATCTTCTGCTTCTAGGTTTTGATTAATTCACTTGTGTCTTCTTTTTTTTTTTTGTTGGAATTGAGTTTTCAGTTCTTTGTTTTTATATTTTGATTAGTACATTTGGGTCTTCTTCATTTTCATTCTGTGTTTAAAGATTTTTTTTTTTTTTCTAGAGCCTGGTTTTCTGCCTAAAAACTTTTTTTTTATATTTTAATAAAAACCTTTTGATTCCAAACAGCTCTATTAAAATTCTTTTTATTATTTCTAATACTATATTTCTTCTTTTTTCTTTTCTAATTTTTAACTTTTTTAATCTTTCTGCTAATATATCTTGAATTAAACTTATATCACTAATCTATTAAAATCTTGATCATTGTATTTATTCTACTAGCAAATCTTTTCTTTTTTTTTCTAATTTTGTTGTTGATCTGCAAGTTTTCTTTGCTTGTTTAATATATTATTTTTATCATTTATTTTGCTAGAATTGTAAATAAAACTTTTAAACTTGTTTCTGCTTAAATCTGGTTTAGAGTTTTTGCTTTTATAAAGCCTTCAGTATTTTGTCTCTTGATTTCTTTTCTTCTTTTTTCTACTTTGGTTTTTTCTTCTTTCTCATGCTAGTTTGTTATAGCAACTTCAATAGATTCTTTAAATTTTTTTACTAATATTTTCAATACTATTTTATTATATTGTTTTTGTCAAATTTTTTTTTGTTCTTGAAGTCTTTTGCTTCAGCCTAGTTCTAACTTCAACTTTATTTTAGCAGCTTATTTTTTCCTTTGTCAAACTTGCATCTTCTTCTTTTTTTTCTTAATTTTCTTCTTAATTTCATGCTGGTTTGCTGCAAAGATTTTGATGAATTCTTTGAATTATTATATTATTATCTTCAGAGCTGTTCTGTTATATTGCTTTTGTTAATTTTTATTTGTTCTTAAAGTTTTTTACTCTAATCTAAATCTAATTTTAACCTTATTAATTTCATTTCAACAGCTTATTTTTTCTTGGAATCTATTATTTATCTTATTTTATTGGCTATTTCTAAGTTAGTTAGAATATTATTTATTTCTTCATATATGGTATATTTAATTAGATCCTCTTCTTTTTGTAGTACTACGAAGTAATCATGATTGTTTCTTTTTCTAAGTATAAGTTCTATATAATTAAGTATACCTGAATTATATTTTATAATTCTTTATAAAGTTCTTTTAGTTGTGTTTTAACTTTTTCTTCTATAATAAGTTTTTTTCAATATATTTTATTAATATCAGATCTATTGAGATATTTTTATTTTCATCAAGTGCCTCTACTTGTGCTTCAAATTTTTCTAATATAGTGATCATTTTTTCAGAACATTCTGTTAAAGTTTGCTTTATATGACTTGTTGTTTTCTATTATTATTATTTGTTGTTGTTGTTTATTAAAGCTGTTTATTACTTTTGTTTATATTTGTCACATAGTTTTTGATATATTTTCTTTGTTTATTTTTCATTATGTGTTGTGATTTATGTATTATCAAAACAGATCTGCATTACAGAATCAAAACCAATTTCTGAAAATTTGCAAAACACAAAAAAAAAAACTAATGATTTTGTATAATTTTTTTATATCTTTATCACTTTTGCTTTTTTTATTTAAGTTTCTTAAGAGACTAAGTGTTTTCTATAGTTTTTTTTTTTTTTTTTAAAGCTCTGAGTCTGATTTCTTAGTAGTTTTTATTTGTTTTTTTGTAGTTTTTTAATAATTTTGTTTATATAAATTTGTATATAAAGGATTAACAAAAAAACTTGAATAATAACTTGTTATATATATATAAATTGCTATATATAAGTTTTATTTTTTTAAATACATATATATATAGGGTTTTGGCCTTGTAGCTTATTGGTTAAGCTCTCAAACCCCTATAGACAAGATTAACAATTCAAGTCAGGCTGGTGTTAAATTTTCGAATTTGCTACTGTAACCTATATAGGGTTATAATTGAATGCAAAGTGCTATAGAAAGTCCAAGTGCAAGTACAGTTCTGAAATAGAATTTTTGGAAGGAGATCCAATCATAGAGTATAGGCACTATGTATAATAACAGCATTACAGAAAGTTTAGTAGAAACAATTATGTATATAAGTCTTTATAGATACAGACAGCACCAATATCCCTTCTCTACCATTTAAAGCAATACCAATATTCCTACACCCAACTTGTGAGGTACTTGCTTGAAAAAGTAATTACTAGATTGTATATATAAGTCCTGATTTAGAATTATAGCATAAGGACTTGCTTAGGAGAGTAATACAATTCTACTAAAACTGAAGTAGTGAGAGAAGTAGTAAATACGAAAATAATCTGTGGTAAAGGATTGGCCTTATTAAAGTTGAAAGCACCTCTGGCAATATATAAAAAACTAAAATTAAAAAAGTTCTATCTGTAGAGAGATAGATCAATATACGAAGATATGTAAAAACTTGAATTAGGCTGAAAGCACCAGGCTGATAGTAGTAATACAAACAAAATACAACTGCAATGCAAGGGCATATCAACATTAAAACACCAACTAATTCAGATGAAAGCTAGAAGTGATATTATATATCACAAAACCTAGTTGGAAGTAATTCTGTTATACAATATAGTAAGTACCTAACCAATACACTGGAGCCTCCATATAAAGATATAGAAGACACAGCATTCTAATTCTGATTTAATATATAAGTGTTTTTCAACATATACTAGTGTGGTGGTTAATTATACAAGAAGTTGTCTAGTAGAAGATAGCAAGACTGTAGACAAGTTTGAACCCAATACTAGTAAAGACAGTTGATATAGAGCCATCATCAAGTTAGAAAGTATACTGTAAGGAATACGAAGGTCTAGGCCCATAAGAGATCTACCTGGCTTCAGATAGATGGGTAATACAATAAGTAGATCAAAGACAATTATAGTCTTAGTATAGAAAAATCTAATATATAAATAATAGTACAGAATTAAAATATATTTGGTAGCCTGCATCTGAGAATAAATTAGTTCTAAATCATAGCTTAATTTAAGTAGTTATAAAAATACTGATATAACTGTAAAATATAACTAAATGAAAATATACAATAATAAAGTTATAATCAAAAATGCCACTTAAAAAAAAAACAATAATAAAAAATACATACTGTATATATATAAAAAAAAATTAAAAAAAATTTTTTTTAATATAATAAGGGGACTGACAATTATTAGCTAATTATACCCCCCTGAGATTTTTAATTTGACCTCCAAAGGTCAGTCATTTGACTAATACAAATTGTATATGTGACAAAATCAAATTTGGCATGTGACAAAATTAAATTTATCACATATATTGTTGCACAAATATGACAAAATCGGATTTATCACATGATAAATTCGAGAATATCACGTGATAAATCCGATTTTGTCATATTTGTGCAACAATATATGTGATAAATTCAATTTTGTCACATGCCAAATTTGATTTTGTCATATATACAATTTATATTAGTCAAATGACTGACCTTTGGAGGTCAAATTAAAAATCCCAGGGGGGTATAATTAGCTAATAATTGTCAGCCCTCTAATTAGAGGGTTTTCAAAAATCAGCTGATTAGGATTTACTAATAAATTACTTAAGATCAAACCCATCTACCCATCACTTGACATTTCTATTAATTAGTGATTTGCTAGTCAACCAGAGAAGATCTGCAAATTTTTATAAATAAATTTTACTATTAAGCCAAATGTGGAGTGCACTAATCTAAAACTTTTTTTCTTACTAAGTAAATCATTCTTGGTTTATAACAAAAGTTGTAAAGCTCATCAAAAACGTTAAAATTAGCTTGGTGTTTCTTAAAAAATCTTTAAAAAACATTTTGCTGATATATAAAATTTCTTTAAAAAAAATTAATTTTTTTTAAAGAAATTTTATATATTAGCAAAACATTTTTTAAAGATTTCTCAAGAACAACTAGACCAATTTTAATGTTTTTACCACTATTAGATGTGTTTTGATGAGCTCTACAACTTTTGTTATGAGCTCAAGAGTGATTTACTTAGTAAGAAAAAAGTTTTAGATTTGTGCACTTCACATTTGGCTCAATAGTAAAATTTACTTATAA